TCTATCTATCTATCTATCTATCTATCTATCTATCTATCTCTCTATCTATCTATCTATCTATCTATCTATCTATCTATCTCTATATCTATCTATCTATCTATCTATCTATCTATCTATCTATCTATCTATCTATCTATCTATCTATCTATCTATCTTATATCTATCTATCTATCTATCTATCTATCTATCTATCTACCTATCCAGATTTCATACCTGAAATATCCCATAACTTTGTGTCTTACGTGAAGAAAATTAAATATTCGACAAACCCGAATTGGAAAAAAGAGTTTTAGAAGAAGCTCTAAATGCTCTACTCAAAACTCCTTATTTTAACGATATTGATAAATATAAAAATTACACTCAAATGGATTGGAATACATTAGCTACAGATCCCCAAGAAATCCACTGTAACAACGAGATTATACGTCTAAAACCAAATACTGGAAAAGTCATTGCTATTATAGTTATACCGAATATTGTCGGTTATCAACATAAATACATTGAGCTTAGAGTTTGTCCTCTTATGCAGCCTACGTTAAATGTGTTAAACGACTCCAGTCAAATTGTGAAAACAGAGAATATGATTTCTAAGCTATGGCTTGAATATAATTGTTCGATACCAGAAATAAAATGGAACCATGATGTTATCTTGCAGGATAAAGTATATGCGGGAGAGTTTCATGATTTTCAAATGCCATTTGAAAATACCAGTAATATAGGTGGTTTCTTTTATTATGATGTTATTGTAAGTATTTCTTTTAACCGATTTTTTATTATGTAACAACATTTCCATTTGTGTATAATTCAGCCTCATTCCAATTTGGGTATTATGGAATTTACAAATAGCGAATGGAAGTATTTATTGAACCTGGTTCGAAACTATGTGTGCCATGTAAAGTAAAATTTAATAAAGTGGGTTTATCACTTTGGCAGGACTGTAAGTACTGTAAAATCAATAATTTTATTTTATAATTTTAATTTTTATAATTTTTACTTGATTCTTAGCATCAAGTTTCTGGGAATTTATACTTGTTATCCATTTCATATTAAAGCTCAAGTTTTTCCACCAAAAGTGGATTTTATACCAAGATCGATATCAAAAGTAGTAGAGGTTCTGGAATTTATAAAACTTTATATATTTATAGAAAATTCCACACCTACAACTACTTGGTTCAAACTAAAATTGGTAAGTTTTTTATTAGATACAGGAACCCTTTTTACGTCAGATCGATTTACAAGAAATGTCGAAAACATAAAGAATAAACTAAGAATTTTACACCCGATAACAAGAAATGAACCGAAAAACATTCTTTATAACCATCTCTTTCCATATTTCATTTACAGAAAGATGAATCTTGTATGAGTATAGAACCCTGTGGTGGTCAATTAGCTCCTACTGGTCAAGCTATGTATGTTACTTTAAAAGCATTGTATAAAGATCCTGGAACCCATAAAAATGTACTATATATTGCAACTGAATTTGGAAGTATAGAGGTAAGTAAATAAATTATGTGGATTTAATTGATAAGAGTTTAAATAGATACTTTGATTAGAGTACCTGGAAGAAACTGAATATGTTTAAGTCCTCAATGTTCAATGTAAAATCTCATTGGTAGTCGCATTCCCACCATAACAACAATGGTGGACAAACTATGATTTAAGCTAGCGGCAAAATTCTGGAATATGAAAGCAATGGAAATATTTGTAGAATTTAAATGTTATTTTCGATACCTTTTGAATGCCAGAATTTGACCTCAGGATAGATAAATTTAAGCTATGAGCTCCTCGAGGGTTTCCATCCTATCCGACATAGCAAATATTCTTAAATCCCTAAAATTTCTCTTAACATTTTTTCAATCTCATATAACATTCGTGTATTTTACTGTCTAAAAAGAAATACATCAGTCGAACTTTTCGTGTGTTAAGACCCATTTGTTAACCATACTTTATCTTGTCTACAAGCCAAGTTTGGTGAAATAGTATATGTTCGATAATAAAACCACTGAATACTAGATCTGATGACCCTCATTCAGTATATTTATTGCCCTATTAGCTCACCATATTCCAAACTGGCCAACTCTGGCGCCTATTATAAGAAACAGGTAGAAAATTATAGTCGCTATAGTGATTGTATGAGTTAAATGCCTAAATCGGAAGGCCCGGTTGTATGGGCGCTTGGTGAAATAATGGACCGATTTCAAATATTTTCAATATGGTCAAAATTCCATCAAAAGTTTTATATATAAATCGATTTTATATAGAAATCAATATTTGCTTTCCAGAAAATTCCCATTACCATCCATGTCAAAGGTATACCGATATTTTTGAACCAGATATACGTGATCAAAACTTAAATATTGACAGTATACTATGCAATACAGAAGAGGATTATTATGCAGATAAACCAAATTTTTCAAAACAGATCAAAGTAATCAATAAAGGTCTAAGAAATTATCGTTTAAGTATTGCACGTATCAAAAGTTCGGCCAAACCAACATGTAGCTCAAATTCATCAAAAGCAAAATTGACTATAAAACCAAATAATCTATTAATACCACCTTTATCGGGCAATTACTTTAATATTTTTATCAATTGCTGTGAAAATACTACAGTATATAGTGAATTTCGTATACAATTAACGGATCACAGTGATGTAAAACATATGGAAACTTCTAGTTTGTACTGTCAACGACATTTATAATGCCACAATTAACTTGGAATCGGCGAGAAATTTCTATAAACTATTATAGAAGACATAAGTTTAATGAGCATGAACAGTGGGGTATATTTTAATATAATATTTATATAGAAAAATATTTATTTTAATTTTAATTTAGAAACTATTAAGCTGAAGAATAATACACTGAATAGAGTGGATTGTGTAAATTTAAAAATATCTGGGCCTTTTAAAATCAAAGAATTATTTGAACACAACTACGAAAATGAATTGAATTTTTCAGTGGCAGGTTTTGAAACGAAAGAATTTTTATAATGTTAAATAAGGATCCGATCAGAAATCGTTTAAATACCTATTATGAAGGATGTATAACATGTTATGCCAATTCAAGACTACAGGTAAATAAAGTCAAATAAATGTATTTTCTTCGGTCAATCGATGTTTTATATTTGAATTTGTTTATTCTTTAGAAATCGGTTTGCTTAAAATTAATGGTATTCATACCTAAAATATCTATAAAACAAAACCAAGTGACTTTATTCGTCCAAAACATAGAGGGTGTTACCTATATAGAACTAGAGAATACGGGAGAAGTACCAGCAATTTATAAATGGAAGAAATTGAACGAAGAATGGCATTATATTAGAGAGGTGTACATTAATACATATATTTTTCACAAATTTTCATTATTAATTTTAACAATAAAACCTCTAGGACGATGATACTCAACAAGTGGCTTCTATAATATTAACTGATCTCATACGAATGCTGGAATTAGATAATATTGATTCAGAATTGGACTCAGAACCAAATATGTCATTACGTTATCAGAAATATAAATGTGTTTTAAAGAACTTAAAAGATCCTATTAATGTCAAGGAAATTTTAAATGAAATTATAGAAAATTTAGACTTAAAGGGAAGACGTTATAAATTGTGTTATCAAGAAGATTTGACAACAACTGATAGCCCTAACATAAGCGATATCAATATCATAGAAACTGATACAAATGAAATTCAAGATATCGAACAATTTAACGAAGAAACAAAGGAAGAAATCGAAAATCACTTAAATTCTCAAACAATATATATTAATCGCAAATTTGAACCGACTTCATCTGCAAGGTCTGCCATAGCAGAAGAAATTTCGAATGAAAACATTTGTGTTTATCATACGTTAGATCATGTACTGGATCATTTAAAATTAGATGACAGTAATGTATTATCTCTGCCAAGCTCTGAAACTTGCGACCTAAAAAACTCGGTATATTTCTTTGATAAATGTGGCCTATTACAAGAAAATCAAAAGGAAATGTGTGCTTTGCATATACCACCTATTAGAAGAGGTAATTAAAAGAGGGATCAGCGAAGGTCTGTTTCTTAGTTCATGTTAGGATGATCTATATTAAAGTCTTGCACGTAATAAATTTATTTCAGATAAAATTAAAAAGTTTTTGGTTATAAAACTTATCAACAATTTAAATTTGAAAATCGTATTAACTATTAAAATTACAGGTTTTGAGGTTCGTTCCATATTTCAATTAGATGTGGTGGGTGGTAAATCCCAACAATTAGAGATTGTTTTCGTTAATTTGGATAAAACGGTAACATTAAGCAAAGAAACCATTTATCTGGGGCTGAAGGTAAGTTGTAATTTGTATTGAAATGTAGAAAATAAGTTTTCATTAAATAATAAAGAGGAGATTTGTTTTTGTGTTTTTTTTACTCTTTCTAATCAAAACTACTGGACCGACTTAAATAAGTTTTCGCAACCAACCTGTGTTGTAATTCCTCAAATAAATGTATAATTTCCTACTTACACTAAAAAAATACCGTAAAATTTTACTAAAAGTTTAAATTTCAATTTATTTTATTCATTCATCTGTACGAAACCAAGCGCTTTGCATTATAAACATAACATATTTCCACAATAACAATATTAGTTTTTATTACCGTTACATTTAATAACAATTTTCTTAAAAAAAAATTTTGTAACATTATCTAAAGTTTAGATAATGTTTAGATTCTAAACATAATCTTGCAACATTGAATGTATTGCAATATTATCACAAACTGTATTATCGACATTGTTATTATTTAGCATTATATTAATACCGCAACATTATCATACAGAAGTGTTGCTCAACTTTGTTTATCATACAAAAAAAGGAAAGCATAACCTATAAAAATACATGCATCACTGTTCAGGCATTAATTTTAAAATCACATATTTTTTCAATTATTTTACATTTTACACACATACTTAATATCAAATAGTATCATTATGATGATAGAAAGACCAAATAACATTTTATAAAACTTACCTATAATTTAACACTTTGTGCTGCTAAAAAATATCACTTTTCTTTAACACTTTTCACTTTTTACACACTTTTTATAAATTATTTGACTAGAATGCTTTTACATTTACAATAATACACACTTTAATTAACTTTACATCACTATAACATATAATTTTAATAATACTTTATAACTTTTTAAAGAATTTGCAATTTTACGCATCTTTTTCACCTAACGAACAAACAAAAACTGATCCATCTGTCAGCTGTTTATTGTTATTTTTTCTTGTAGCTTTATGATGAGTATAAAAAATGTAAACAAAACAAGAAGAAACGCTAAAGCAAAAACAATTTACACATATTCAGAGAAAAAAAAGCTGCAGTAGTGTGAAACTGGATTAAAATTAAAACCACTAACGACAAGCGACTATTGACAAGACACATTAATTTATTAAATTGTTTAACTTTTTTTATTTAAAATATTTGAAAAGGAGAAGAAAACCTTAGTTCTTTGAAAAAGTGTACTTTGGTCTATGGGTTATTATATTCTCGATGGGAATGAATATAAAACTCGATTTTTATGGATATTGAAGTGATCACAAATTTTTTAATTGGTCGTTTATTAAAAAACGGCAATCAATTTCAGATTTGCTTTCCTCTTTTTATGGAATATTTAATATAGATTTCCATTCTCTTATCGCTTAAAGCTTGTTTATGGGTTTTTTTTAATTGGACGTACTATATTTAAAGAACTACACTATATAAAAAAAGATTTTTATCGATATTTTAAAATTTTTATGAAAAAAGTGAAATACATAAACCGATGGTTTTTGTTATATCCAGGAGGGTACTGCGTAGAGCTCTTAAATCTGAATTACATATTTACATAAACATATGTATTTCCATTTACAACTACATACATATTCTATTGCAAATAAAACTTTTTCTCTTTTCTATAGCCTTGGTATGAACAATTTCATACTAAAACCTATGTTCAAAATACGACCAATTACCAAGTTTCTTTAAAAATCAAACAGGATCCAAAAATGGCAAATAAAGTACCAAAAATTGCCCTGGGTCACATTAACATAAAGGTCAATAAAACGCTTCAGTTATTACCTTTTCAAAATACTAACATACGAACTGAAGGTACTATGGGCTTTAATGAAGAATTTAAACAAGTTTTAAAATTAATTATAAATGAAAATGAAGAATTAATATTAAAAATTAGTGGTCATGGCATAATGCCCATTATAATAGTCTCTAAACCCTTATTACCACTTGCACAGCAAGATCAATTAGAAATTTCGGAAGAGTATCGTTTATTACAAAAAATATTTTACTTGGAAATATTTAAATCAATTACTGAAAAAGATGATGATTATCTAAAGGGTTTACATGAAGAAGAAAATGTTTTGCAAGAGATTCCAAGTTTCTCAACAGATTTAAGTGAAATGCAAAATGGCTCAGAAATGGATGAAACTTCGTCGAACATCAAAAAAGAACAAAGATTTTTTAGACTTATGCAAACCTATATTTTGGTTAATAATAATGAAGATATGCCAAATTCTACGGTTTTAGAACAACTATTGCAAACAGAAAAATTTCTCAATCAATTACATGTTAACACAGAAAGTTGTTCCATTTTATGTTCGCTCTATCAGAACTATTTACAGCACCAAAAAATTTATCAAGATCAAATGCCTATTAATTTGAAACATTTTATTATACAATCTCTACCGTTTGAATTAAGAACTAATATTTTAGATATGGGCAAAGTCTATTTAAACCAATATTTTAAATTTATCTTTAAATTGGAGTTTATAGGTCCCGGTGAGCTCAGAGCAGCTGCCAGATGTGCAGTTAAAATTCCCGGTTTAACGATTGATTTTGAAATTGTAGAAAAGTATGTTTTTCGAAATCATTTAGATCGATAGATAGATAGATAGATAGATGATAGATAGATAGATAGATAGATAGATAGATAGATAGATAGAGATAGATAGCTAGCTAGCTGATAATAGCTAGATATAGCTCGCTCGCTATATAATAGCTCGCTCCTAGATCCTCGCTCGCTCGCTCGCTCGCTCGCTCGCTCGATCGCTCGCTAGCTCGCTCTCCTCGCTCGCTAGCTCGCTCGCTCGCTCGCTCGCTCGCTCGCTCGCTCGCTCGCTCGCTCGCTCGCTCGCTCGCTCGCTCGCTCGCTCGCTCGCTCGCTCGCTCGCTCTCGCTCGCTCGCTCGCTCGCTCGCTCGCTCGCTCGCTCGCTCGCTCTCTCGCTCGCTCGCTCGCTCGCTCGCTCTCTCGCTCGCTCGCTCGCTCGCTCGCTCGCTCGCTCGCTCGCTCGCTCGCTCGCTCGCTCTCTCGCTCGCTCGCTCGCTCGCTCGCTGCTGCTGCTCGCTCGCTCGCTCGCTCTCTCGCTCGCTCGCTCGCTCGCTCGCTCGCTCTCTCGCTCGCTCGCTCGCTCGCTCGCTCTCTCGCTCGCTCGCTCGCTCGCTCGCTCGCTCGCTCGCTCGCTCGCTCGC